CCAGGTCCAATTACACTTAGATCTTACCCAAAATACACACTATAGTCAATTCTTATTAACTAAGCTAAACTTTATTAAAAAAGAAAAGAGAGTGTTGGTTAAAAGATCAATATACAGACAGACTTGAATTCAATTCTTGAGGTTCAGGTACATAGCAGAGATGAGCTTGTAGTTGCCAAAAGTTCTTTTAGAAATAGTCCAGAGGTTATAGTCCAATGTCCATATTCAGGGTGGCTCCAGTCAATGACTGGGGATCTCAATCCTTAGGGCTTAAGGTTTCCCCCTCTTGAAACCCAAAGCAGATCTGAGATGAAGCAGGATCGTGTCCCAGGGTTCTTATACATTTCCACCAGCCTTTCGGCCTGAGAAAACAATAGGCTTAACTCTCCTTCTCCCAAACATCCTGGCAATTAGCACAGGGTAATTTATCCATTCAACAGTTCAGATACAGGTTACCTCAACCTTCGAAGAGACAGAGAGACAATAATACAATTTTCCTCAAGTATCATCATAAATGTTAATATTCCTTTTTTGATCTTTGAATCAAAGCTATAGCAATAGACAAGACTTGTTTGCTGACATTACAAGACCTGAGCAAACATCTCCCCTTCTATCTCTAACAATGCCGGCTGCATTTCACAGCTCTGTTCATTTACACATCTTCCTAACCAGTCTCTAAAGTTCGGCCATGTCAGATCAGTCGGTGAGTTAATTAACTCTTTCTGGCCCTGTCACCTTCCAATGAAATAGTATATTACACTCATAACGTCACACCTGGTTGCCGACGGGCAGGATCGAACCTGGGACCTCTGGCGCTAAATGCATGAGCCAATGAGCTAAAAACCATATGGCCTTTAACTGAGGCTGTAGCAGACTCATTAATCTCTAAGTGGTCTCGGTGCCACGAGAGGGGACAGACACGACCCCCAGGAGGTGTGTGGGTTACACTCGGAACACGCCCCAGGGACTGTTGCTGTCTGACAGGCCGGGAGGCAGCAGGCGCATTTTGGACCGATGGCTGCTGGAGTGTTTCAGAGGTTTGATCCCGGCAGGGGTTGGGTTGCAGAAGGAAACAGAACTGGGTGTTTCACAAACACCAGTGTCTGACACGGGGGTGGTGGATGGATGGGGGAAGCTCTGACACAGGGGCTCTTGTTCCTGGCACAGTCGTGTGATTTAACAGGGGCAGTGTGCTAGGCACCAGGTCACTGGACTAGATTGGGGTCCTGCATGACTCCCTTTTCCCAGCAGGACCCCCCTCCTGTCTAGCAGCAGGGAAGGCCAGTGTGCTCGGACTCCTGCTTAGGGACCCCTGAACTGGAGCCTTTTTAGCTTTGGCTGATTAACAAGGGAAGTTTCTACCTAACTTGCTACAGTAACAAGCCAAACGCTGCGGTATCCCTAAAAAGGGACTGCAGTGGGGGGGACGGGGGACTGCAGAACTCAACAAGGTGTTTGGGCACAACAAGAAGTTACCGACATCCACCATGGTGACCCCAAATTAGCACGTGATGTGATGCTGCCTGGGGCAGGGGAGGAGGGCAGTGACATCGCTCCAATGGGACTGAGTGGCCGTTCATTTCACAACTGATTGATGTGATAGGAAACCCGAAGGGAGACAGACACCCAGTGGAAATCAGAGGCAGCCTGTTTAAACCCGACCAAAGGCAGTGTTGTTAACCAGTGGAACTCACTGTCACAAGATTTCAAGCCAAGATGGGAAGTAGCATTTGGTGGCTGTTTGGCACTGGAGTCAGTGACTGGGCCAGGCCCAAGGCCCAGTGGGAATGAAGTCCAGGGGGTAGAAACCCCTGGGGCTTGGAAGTCAAATCTTGGCTGGATCCTGGCCTTGGAGCCGGTTTCACTCTGGCAGATCTGGGGGAGCCCGAGCTCGCTGTGGGGCGTCGACCGAAGGCCTGGCACACGGGGGCTGCCGGCTTTGTTTGGTACAATCGTGTTTCCGATGAAAACCCAGCAGGAATTCCCACCGCACCGGACACGTTTCCAGCCCCATTTCATGTGGGGTGAAAGTTTCTGATTTTTGTTTTAAATGAAAAACTGGAACCCGGATGTGTCCAGCCCCATGGGCCGGGTTCTCACGGGCCGTTCGAGGGACAAATTCATGTTTTTGAAAATTGAAATTTTTTTTAACCAAAACACATTTTTAAAAAAAAACAAAAACCTGGTAAGGAAAGAAACGGGGAGGAAGGTGGCGGGGGCGGGTTGTTTATCTGGGGTCGCTAAAAACCCAACATCTATTTCCATGGGAACGCGGGGTGTTTGTTCGGCTCCTTCCCACGACCCACCCGGCTGGACCGGACCGGACCGGACTACAGCTCCCGGCATGCACCGAGCGCGAGCGGGGCCGCAGCCTCCGGACCGGACCGGACCGGACTACAGCTCCCGGCATGCACCGAGCGCGAGCGGGGCCGCGCCGCCCTGTTCTCGGGGGCGCCCGGGACCCCGCGCTGCGCGCCCGGCCCGGGAATGGCTGCGGGGCTCCGCGCCCGGGTAGGGCCCTGGCTGCGCTGGCGCCCGCGGGGCGATGTGGCTCCTTGGAGAAGCCGCAGCCCGGGGGGACCCGCAGCCCGAGCAGAGCCCCCGCCCTCCCCCCCCCCCCGTCGCTACGTGTCCCGGGCTCTGCGGGGATCGGGGCCCCGAGAGCTCGGGGCAGATGTAACTCGAGCCCCAAGGCGCGGGGTGAGCGAAGGCAGCAGAGAGCCGGGAGCCAGGCTGGGCAGGGCGACCGCTCGGCTGCGTGGGGCCGGGGGCTGGGCAGTACCAGGGGCTGCGCAGGGCGACCACTCGGCTGCGTGGGGCTGGGGGCTGGGCAGTGCCAGGGGCTGGGCAGGGCGACCACT